GCCCTTTCTCACCCGAGGCCTGGGACAGGCCTCTTGACCAGCCCTGTTTGACTGGCAAAAGGTTGAAAGTTGGGCCTCTGGGTCGTCTGGGATGGGTGGGTGGGTGGGCTGAAAGGAGAGGAGCTTGGACCGACGAGCTCCAGGAGGATGTAAAACAAATTAGCTCTTCGTTTATCACTGTCACTTACGGGATGAGACAGTAGGGAGGCATCGTGGGTTCTGGGCCAGGGGAGGGAGAGTGTGACCACCCGTCCTGTTCATCTCTGACCGCTTCTCTGCCTTTGCCCAGACTTACGCGGAGATGGACCCCACCACAGCAGCCCTGGAGAAGGAACACGAGGCGGTGAGCAGGGACGGGGTCCTGCCTGGGGAGGTCCTCCCGCTCCTGCCTCGCCCCTGCCGAGCGGCGCAGTGCCCCCACTCCCACCCTGTGTGCAGATCACCAAGGTGAAGTACGTGGACAAGATCCACATCGGGAACTACGAGATCGACGCCTGGTACTTCTCGCCGTTCCCCGAAGACTACGGGAAGCAGCCCAAGCTCTGGCTGTGCGAGTACTGCCTCAAGTACATGAAGTACGAGAAGAGCTACCGCTTCCACTTGGTGAGGCCGGCTGTGCGGGGCGGAGGGGCGCGTGGAGGCCCAGGGCAGCTGAGCATGGGGCACGCAGCCCGGGGGAGACAGGCAGGCTCAGAGGGGTCAGTACAGCGGGGGCCCAAGGGTGGGGAGGTCTAGGTTCCTGGCTTTGCTGTTGCTGCTGGGGGACCTTGGCCAACTTACTGGCTCTTTCTAGACCTCAGTTTCCTCTTTGGTTTTTTGAGACGGGCTCTTGATGTGTAGTTCAGGCTGGACTTGAACTCATTAGCCCAAGCTGGCTTCAAACTCGAGGCAATCCTCCTGCCTCAGCCTCCTGAGTACTGGGATTACAGGCATGTGCCACCTTTTTTTTTTAATCTTGAGATAGAATCTTGTTAAGTCTCTAAATTACCCAGGCTATGCTCAGACTTAGGCTCCTCCTGCCTCAGCCTCTCCAGCAGTTTTCTCTTATATGGAACGGGGACAGTAATCTTTTGAGTTCTTTACCCTTTACTGCATGTTTAGTAAGCCCAGCCCAGTGCTGGGCTCCTCAGTGCAAAGGAGGAAACAAGCATAGCCCCTGACTGTGAGGACTTAGGCCCTGAACCGGTGGGAAGGACAGGGCTGGGGTTGTGTACCAGGCAAGAGGCACTCAGGAATAGCACAGCGGGTAGCACTTTTCCCAGAGTGTGGGGTCTGAGGTGAATCTGTGTGGTTTAAGAAAACCAGGGTCAGGGGCTGGGGATTTAGCTCAGCGGCAAAGCGCCTGCCTGGCAAGCGCGAGGTCGTGAGATCAATTCCCAGTACCCGGGAAAAAAAAAAGGCGCGGAGCGGAGGGTCTGCACCTGGGGAGGCAGAGGCTGCACGCCACACAGCCCGGGATGGGAGACACCTAGTGGAGAACAGGGTCTCAAGCCTGTGTTCCTCGTCCCCACCCCCAGGGCCAGTGTCAGTGGCGGCAGCCGCCAGGGAAGGAGATCTACCGCAAGAGCAACATCTCTGTGTACGAGGTGGACGGCAAAGACCACAAGGTGAGCTGGTGGCCTGGGGGGATGGGGGGTTGGGGAGACTCTGGGCACCTCTTGAATGACCCTCACCACAAGGCAGCTGCGGTCACTGCGTAATGAACACAGCCCTGAGGGACCGGCCTCGGGCCAGGTGTCCTTTCAGTCCCTGAGAACCTCACTTCTGATGAGGGTCGTCCCGGTTGGGGTAGTTCTGGAACCCAGAACACAGATTTCCTTGCCCGAAGCTGCTCTCAGACAGCTGTTTCCCTCTTGAGGAAAGGTGTTTGTTTTTGCCTGGGCGGGAATCTGTGTGTGAGATTTGTGTCCAAGAGCTCCCAGGCTGATGTTGGCCGAGGTCCTTGCTCCTGGCAGAGTGACCTCAGTGGGGCCAGGAGGGGCCTCTGGAGCCGTTGCTGACACTTGACCCTGGCTAGTCGGGCTGGGAAGGGCTCACCGAGAATACTGTTGCCACTGGAAGGGCAATATAAGATAAGAGGCTGGCTTCAGATTGTCCTGTCACTTCCTGCTTGATTTCAGACAGGTTGCTTAACCTTGTTTTGTTCCTGTTTCCTCATCCGTAGGACGAGAGTCATAATTAGCGACCTAATGGTTTTGGTGGTGGGATAAATGAGACTGCACATGTTAAGTGTGTGGCACAGTGCCTGGCACCTAGCAGGTGCCTAGTAAAAGCAGGCTTTGCTATTATTGGTGACTTCTGGGGGCTCAGGTAGTCTTGTGCTTGGGGATACCTGCTCTGACCCAGCCCTTGCCTGTTACTCTGCCTTCCTGAGCATAAGTGTGCTTCCCTTGGAGATGAGGGGGCCTTTCCACCTCCACCCTCTGCAGGGGGTGAAACCCCAGGCAGACAGTTCTACCCCAAGGACTTCCCTGTCCTCCCAAGTCAAATGGGACCAGCAGTGCTGGCCTCTCACAGTTACTAGGTCAAATGAAAGAGCAGATGGGGCCGGGCATGGTGGCACACACCTGTAATCCCAGCACTTGGGAGGCTGAGGCAGGAGGATCATTGACAGTT